TTTCTACTGTTAGTTAGGATATGTACACTAGACATTTGCTTTTCATGTGACATTATGTACCTTAGGCTGCATCGCATGGACTCCGCATGGAGCTTGCTCCGCATCCTAGATTTCTCAGCTTTCTTTATTGCAGAGTTCCGCTGCTTTGCGGATAGCGTGTTTATGGCTCTTGCGATCCATTACAGGTCTGAGGATCGTGCAATGGGCCTCTATCTGCCCTGGCCTACAACCAGGGCCTATTGGGCTATTTGCCAGTTTGGCCTGTGGGACCAGGCCGTGGCCTGACCCCACAGGCCGTGTGCTGTTCCAGTCCTGCCCGGTACCACTGTCAGTACTAGGCCAGTCCAGTCCAGTCAGTCAGTCCGCTGGGGGTATACCCCAACTGTTGTTTGTTTTTCGTCATTCATAATTTTTGCACTTGTGGGAGTATGTGCGGTGTTGAGTCTGCGTCGGAGTTGCGCTGTCCCTTCCAGTTCCATCTCCACTTCCTCCTTCCTGTACTCCTTCGTCTCCATCCTGTCGGACCACCATCCCGAAAATTTCCCTCGCAGTCTCAAGATTACGAGCCCTTGCTTCGAACCTCAACCTTCATTTTTCTCTTGGTAGCAGGACCTCGAACACGATCACACCTAGTTTGCCTTCGGTCGTCAGCTGTAAGTTCACCACCCTTTGATCCAGTCATCGGCTAGGCAGGCGTTGTCTGCATTTGTGTCCACTCTGGAACCTACCGCAGCATGCGTCTGACCAGTTTTAAAAATAAATAAAATTAAAATAATATCCGAGAATTCACCTAGGCTACTATTCAAGCGGTATCAACAACATTCACACGGACTGTACACATAATCTAAATCTACTTTGATTAGTTCTCTTACAGCAACTTCGAAGAGAACTGACTATGGTAGAACACTACAGTTCTAGTCTAGGTTGTTTGTGAGGTGTTAGCAGTATGTCAACCAACTAATCAAAATAAAAATAAACTATGTAAGCAGATGTATGAACTATGAGTATAGACGTGTTTGCCAGTTGATTCTCAATTTGAATCTTCCTCCCCTGTATCCAACGTGCCTATAGCCATCATCGAGCGACAGTGTCTAAGGTGTGCATTAGTGCCCCACCCCTGTGCCCAAGGTGTATGCTTATGGTCAGAAATGCCCGTTCTTTACCGTTGTGTGCAACGAGCCTTACATCTGACCGATCTGGCTGATCAAGAGGCAGTTTAAGGATAGCCCCCAAAATCCTCATGAATTATTTAACATCGCAATCAGACGACGATCACAGCCAGTGGACAGATCAGACACTCGCCTGAAATATTGATAGACGGTTTGGATAGCGTATGCAAAGGACTGGTCAGTCCGCACACCCCTTCTATCATCGTAGCAAAGAGCCTCAAAGGACAAAGCAGCATGGCCTGCGTGTACTACTCTCATGGGTTGGCATGGTGACCGTGACCCGTGCTTCGACAAGGGCCTTTCACAGGCATCACCCTCTCCTGGCAGATGCGCCTCTAGGAAAAATGGCGTCTCTCAAGGTAGAGCGCTCACGACTCCTCACACAAAATAGAGGACACTCAAGGTTGGACTCACTTCCTCACGATAAGAAGAGATTGAGACGGTAGATAAGGTAAAGAAAGAACGTACCTGGAGATAGCTGCCCCCAACCACAGATTTCTCACCAATTGAGCCGATGTGCATTTCGATGACCGGTCATAGCCTTGGTACCACCCAGAATGCAATGCAGTGCCATCTCAGCCAAAATGCCACATCAGCATGCTCTCATCATCGTACATACATCCGTTGTCGCCACAGCCTTCCAGCGGCCGGCCCCTCTACCTGGGCCCCGCTATATCAAGCCAGCGCCAAAGTAGCCTTACTGCACAGAAACATCATCAGTGCACCAAGTAACAATGTCGCCAGCGTCAGGTAAGTGGCGATCTCGAACCAGCTCCGATACCAAATTGCGAGGAATATGAGTGGGAGCGATATACATTAAGCCAAGTTGCGAAATCACACAGAAGTCCAAGTAGTGGTGTACAAGCAGAGAGCACAAATGAAGTAATGAGACAATGCTCAAGTCCTCAGGCCACACCAACGCAGTATCCAAAGTCGCTCCTCTCTGTCTGGTGCCCAACACTACACTACTTGACTATCCTACCTACATCAGCATTCTCGCAACAGGCTCACTTCGACTCTTGAACACCAATGTAGACGATGTCAACCCCATAGCCGACCCCTCTCATGCACCAGGTACGTATCTCATCTCCCCCAATCAGACCCTATCCACCCACACTTGCCTCCTTCCTGAAGACCATCGATCGCCTTCTTACCCCCTAGCGACCTGCCGGCGCTCCGCTACCCAGCAGCACCCCTCTCACCTCTCGTGCGCCCCGCAAGCGCCCTGGCCGCAATGCAGTGTGCAGCCTCTAACGCAGCAGCGCAGGAGCATGGCCGCATTGCCTGCGTGGGCCAGAATGCCAGACCCTGACTGCCTTCCTTCTCATATGGAAGTGGCAGCCTCTGCTTGGCTGCGTGTGGTCTGGCTGGAAGCTTCCAGTAGCTTCCGGTTGGGCCCCAGTGCCTGCGCCCAGGTCCAGTGCTACAGTTGAGGGCCAGGGCCCTTTACAATTGGGCACGGCATGAGTCTCCAGACTTGGGCCGTTTGCTGCATTTGCACAGGACACGGGGTATGAACGTCGAGAGTGCTGCTTTTGCGTAGGCCTGTATCGGTCCTGCATTGTGTGTATGTGCCCAGGTGTTGCTCTGGAGTCTGGGCCAAATTGTACATTGCAGCTTAGGGAGGTTCACGCGTCCACTCAACCAACTGGGGGGCTGCAACAGCCTGAGTACCCACATATGCAAAATGTCAAATTTTGGCCTTCAGTGAATATTCAGGCCCGCCTTCACTTAGGGCGGGCACTTAACTTGCTGGGGGGCTCCACCCAAAACATGTGCATGCTTGGCAAGGGCCCCGCGAGGGCTCATTCCTTGCATTTGTCTTGCTGAGGAGACCCTTGCTAATTTTAGCAGGGGCCTTTTGAAGTACCGCAGGGGTTTTCTGAATAATGTGTAAGGACTCTCTCTCTCTCTCTCTCTCTCTCTCTCTCTCTCTCTCTCTCTCTCTCTCTCTCTCTCTCTCTCTCTCTCTCTCTCTCTGGGCCTTGGCTAAGTTAGCCAAGGTTACGGGAGAGCATACTATTACATGTAGAGATATGGAATGTATGTAATAAACCGAGAATCTGCAATGTGATGAAAAGGACTGAACAGACAATGCGGTACGAGTAGAATCTCGACAAGCAATGTACATTCTCATTCATACATAAAGATGTTGAAGAGCGCAGGGAAGACTTTGATACAAAGACTGACCTGACAGGACTGACCTCATTC